AGCAAATAAAAAATGAACAAACAACACCAATAAACCCTAAAGTTAACCACAGAACACAGCCCCTGCTGGAAACAAGCTGAGCATATTTTCTTTAGTTGACTAATTCTTGTTTATTTTTTGAAGGCTGCTGCTATAAAATTCACAATCCAATTACAATTTCCAGGCTGAAAGAATGGCTTCTAATTATATTGTTTTCCATCACTGCACGAAAGAGTGGATTAATGCTCTATGATTTCATTCCCTGTACAAGAATCAGATCTCGGTGTTCTCAAATGATTTATAAAAGACACATTAAATAAACCATTAACAGTGTTTTTGCAGCAGAAAAGGGCTGTACCATAAACAGGACAAATTGAAAAATACGGATTTGCTGCTGTGTTTCAATGCATCAGAAATGAGGATAACACGGTGCATACTGAGTAAAAGGGAATAAACCTGAAATTGGAAGGAAAGCTCAGGTGACTTTTGAAATGTGAGACTGGTGACATGACTTCCTGCATGACTTTTGGTAAGTCACTTGGCCAAGGGGGGAGGATTGCAGCTCCAGAAAGAACCAGCCCAGTTGTCCTGTCAGTGTAACTGTCTCCATGCAGGTGTGAATGTGTGTGCCTTGGGTATCTAAGTTTCTGCTATAAGTAGAGACCAATGATTAAACAAGTCTATGTGACTGTTTCAGAGGTTCAGCTGTCTTTGCCTTGTTTCTCATATGTGTTCCCCAAGCACTCAATTCTACCACATGTCTAAACTTCAGGAGATGAATATGGATCTTGTCCCCAGTTCCATGTTTCGGGGCAGGGCTGAGCCACAGTCTTGGCTGGCATCTCTGAGCTTCAGCTGGATTTACATCCAAGTCATCTACACTCTGGGAAAGAAAAAAAATTTAGTGCCTCTCCTGAACAAGCATAACAGTTGCCTACAGAAAGATAAATAAAATATATCCAGTTAAATGACTGAAATGATTGGAGACTAAATCTCCTGCCTACTGCTTCTCCTCCTCGCAGCTACAGTTCTAGTTAATAATAAGACTTGCAGTCTGAAAGCAGAACAAGAAAGAATAGAATGACCTTGAGGAAGACACTGTCCTTCAGGCTGCAAATCATTCAGAGACACTTTTGCATGCAGTTGCATGCACACATCTGGCTCCAGATACACAGCAGCTGTTTCCAAACAACTCCTGGCCCACAAGACTCCTTGCAGCCTCTTCTATGCAAGGGCTGAGACCTAAGACCCTGAATCATAGAATCGCAGAATGGTTTGGTTTGGAAGGGACCTCAAAAGACCATCTAGTTCCAACCCCACCACCCAGGGCAGGGGCACCTTCCTCTAGAGCAGGTTGGGTCCACTAAACCAAACTGGTCTCATCCCCCAGCTGGCACTCAGAGGAATAGGACTGGTCCAAGTCCTGACTGCAAATCTCACCCATGCCCTGGGCATCTTCAGTGTACAGAGCCTGGTGGACACAGCAGCATGGAAGATGCTTTTATTCCAAGGAACTCAGTCTCCTGGTATTTCTCTCTAGAGAGTCAGCAGTCAGTGATTATTTCCTTAGGGTTTGTTTTTTTTAGTACACACTGGTTGGGTTTGGTTTGTTTTTTCCCTTTGTAAAAAAAAAATAAAAAATCTTTATAGGTCTGACAATTCATTTCTCTCCTTCTAAACAGCCCAACCTCTTCTCCCTCTTTTCTGCCCTCCAGTCTCGGGCAACTAAATAAAAGTTAAAAAAAAAAAGTCAGAATTGCTAAACCTTTGAAGAAACAGTCCAAGCCAGTCTTGTCTGGGTATTTCTGTAAGGCAGGTCCCATTTGGCTGCCAAAACCATGCAGTTCAGACAACATACTAACACCAGAGTGAAAAACAAGAAGAAATGTCAACATCATCGTCGTACTGAGAACACCAGGAGGAAACCAGGCAGGTTCTTTAACACCTCTCTCCAACTCACATAAAAAGATATGGTCATAAATCAATCTAACACCCAGAAAGAATAAAGTAGTAGCAGGTTTTTTTCATCTTCTATTTCTGCAGCACATTTTGAGCCTTGAGTTCAGAGCAGGAACCAAAATTACATTTTGGAGTCAAAACCTGCCATCTAGAGAGCAAAACAGCAAATGAAAAGGTTTGGAGGCTGGTGGGGTTTTTTTAAAGCAACTATCTTGTAACGTTACAGATGTGCTGAAAACTATAAATTTGCTGTGATCTCTCTTACAGCAACAAAACAGGTTTTAAGAGACCCTTAATTATGTATCTGCACAGCACAGACATCATTATAGGCCACTGTGCCTACTCCCAGCAGAAACACTGCTCTGTGTGGTTAGCCATTACAGCACAGAAAAAACAGTTTTTCTCCCTGTTCTATAAATTTATGTGGTTTGTGTAAACAGAGAGCGATTTCTTCTACTTCTGTCCAGATCATGTAACTGTTGCAGAAAGCAAGTCAGTTTTAATGAGAGATTTTGGATGCTTTGTGTAGCAGCGAAATCACCCAGGTCTGAGTCCTGCAAGTCAGCTAAGGATGCTCAGCAGGTCCCACAAGTATCAGGCTGAAGACATCAGGTGCCAAAAAATCTATACTGTAATCACAAAGAAAAAAAAAACACCAAAAAACCCCACAACCCTGGTGCCCTTCTGAGCAAGTTTCCTGAGGTTTTTAACTGGAGCAAAACTCTCAAATTTCCACTTCTAGGAAAATATGCTGTTTGCACCTCAAGTTCAAATGGGACAAGCTAACAAATTCCTTTTGAAACCTGAAAGTGTTCCAGCATTTTTGAGTCAAGAAATTTTCCAAAATTGTCAACATTGGTTTCAAGTCAATTCAAAATTCAACACTAAACCAAATTCCCAGAGATACAAGTACAGGGGTCTTATTGAAGTAACCCCTCTCTAAAAATGGTACCTAACAGTTTTTTAATTCCTGTATCATAGAATCATCTCCATACGCAGTCACTGGGCTCCATGTCTCATCATACAGACCAGGCAGGAAATGAGGAAGACTTCCAGGGATGGGGCAACCACAACTTCACTGGCCACCCTAGAGCTGATCACCTTTCAGCAGCCTCTTCTCCCTCCACCTCCAGTGCACAAAGGAGACCTTAGCAATCAAATGTACTGGCATATGATTTTTGTTTCCATTAATGCGCTACACTAAAGTGAATCTTAAATGCCCATGCTAGGATCTCCCACCCGTGCATCATTTTAAGGCCAAAGGTACAGAGAGGTCAGGCTTGATGGGGCTCTGAGGAACCTGGTCTAGTGGGATGTGTCCCTGTCCATAGTAGGAGGATTGGAACTTGATGGTTTTTAGGGTCCCTTCCAACCCCGACCACTCTGTGATTCTATGACAGTAACTTACCACTGTCTACCCCCAAAATATTACATAACAAAACATTCATCCTGGGAAGCAGCAGAAACACAGAAGAAAAAAATAAATCAGGAATGCATTCTAGACCCACAAAAGGCACAGTATTCATTAGGTGTGACAGACCTCTCTAATCATCCTGAAACAACATCATCAAACTCAAGAAGCACCTTCTAGTGAGAGTATTAGGGATCATCCAAAGGCAAATACTGTCCAGCAAGGGGGAAAAAAACCCAAATGGATCTACATCCTATTCTCTTTGTTCAAGAAAATCAGCATGGCAATGAATTCCCCTGACCAAAATGAACTTCTAGAATTCATCTCTCAAAAGTGAACGTGATTTATGGACAGACACCATTGCCAAGTGTAGATCAAGGAAAAAAAAAGGACTATTTCATAAAACTTAATGAGAATAGTCACATTAGCAATGTTTCTCTTGCACATGAAAACTACTTACTAGGCCATAAAGTAACAACAGCTTTAAGGCTCAACACTAACATACTTTAAAAAAATAAATAAACGAAAAATTTTCCAGATCAGATTACCCGAAATATTTATTCACGAAGACATATGGAATTAAACAGATGTGAGCATGTTTTCCAAAGAGACATTGTCATTAGCAGCACCAGAGGCTCTGGTATTTGTTAAGCACATTTTTAGGCAGCAAGAGAAAACTGCTCAGACTAAGCCTTTCTATCAGACAAGGTCAAGTTACTTCCCCAGGCTTAGGTGATGCTGTTTCAGGTTAGGACAAACTGCTTCCCCAGGCTGGAACAGACCCAGGCAGCTGCTGAGGTGCAGCACCATACACAGCTGCAAACCTGAGCATCAAGGATGAAATTTTAAACCCATCCTCAAATTTCAAGGTACGAGGAATTGCTTTCTCAGGCTGCAGAAATCATGGGAGTTTATAGTCATCTACTAAAATAGCTGGTGCCTCTAAAAGACCTTCCATGGAGCAATCCCTAGCAGAAAACTTACGACTACACCTCAGTTGTCCTGGAAGATGATGTTATAACGGTGGCAGCAAGGATGAAATTCAGGCAGTTTGTCACGAAGCATTACCCATCCCACAGGATGTGCTGTGGAGCAGCAGCATGAGTTACTTTGATTATCAGGCTCATAAGAAACCTAGCTGCAATACCCTGACACTCGTTGCTGAGGAATTGCCCTCTTGCACAGACTGAGGCATTTTAGCACTGGTATTTCTCTAGGTAAAGGGCACCCTTCGGACCTTTTGCTCCAGATTAAATCAGGCACCACCAGAAAATTGAGCAGATATAGTAAGAAAACCCTTATCTGTTGTCATAGGCTTTATCAAATGATTTACTGCTCAATACTGCTTGCAGCCATCCAGTGACAGGGTGCCAGGTCTAGTTCAGTAAATCATTCCAAGGTGAACAATACAGCACCTGGTCTCTGTGTCCTGAGGCCTGTAGCACCTGACTGATGCCTGACCATATAGGAAGTGCATTAATACACATTCAGTGCAGCAGAGATATGACCTGGCCTTTGATGCATTTCATCAGGGCTTAGCTCTGGGAACTGTAAATGTCAGTATTGAGACACCTGCCTACTGTTTGCTTTAAACTCCACAGTGAGTGAGAAAACTAAGAACAGTTTTAAATAAATAACAACACGAGTTTTCGTAACAGCACCTTTATGGAACACAAGGTTAGCTCTAGACAAGTGCCAGGTTACATGAACTTTCAGTCCTCTACATAAAGAAAGCAATCTTGGGTTTAGTCCATCTTGATAAAACTTGTAAGATTCATACACAGGCACAATACTTGGGCTCTTTCCACAGTAAGAAAAAAGGGCTTTCCTTTACAGTGCTGGGAGTGGTTAACAAGTTATCTTTTCTAGAGAATAATAATTCTCCTCCACTATATCCCATTGTTACTAGGATTTCAGAACACAAGCAAAGCAACCCTAGTTAAGATAAAGTGGAAATTAAGGTAATTAAGCTAAAGACCAAATCACCTTCATAGTTACAATTTTGAATATATATTTTGCCATGTGAAGTTCGATTAATTTTTGTGAATAACAATTCCATCTCTATACACAACAAACAGAATTCCTTGCCAGTAGAGGACTGCACTGTGCATGGCTCATCAGCCTTGAAGGGAAAGTCTGGATCTCAGGCATATCCAGCTACGTGGATCAACAAGCAATCCCTTCAGATCCAGCAGCTTTGGTTTAATGGACGGAAACTTTGGCCTATTGTTCAAACACACCTGCCAGCAACAAATGAGTAGGACTGGATTTCTTTAAAACAAAGCAAACCGTGGTATGTGTATAAAGTCAGTGCCTTGTTCCTTAAAAGCATCTCTACAAGCAACTTTACCTTAAAAATGGGCAGTGCTTAAGTTACAAAAGATTTTGTTTACAATGACTGAAGAAATGGTTCTGCCTCAGGAATTCAAAAGATGAATCAGATTTAGTAGTAGATTTATTAATTTGCTGTGATTTACAATGGGGTGATAGTGTCTGAAACAAGGAGACATCAAAACAGGTTTAGCCAGGAGGTTTATGGCTTCCAAGTCAAATTTTTTGACCAGTGTCAGTCATTTGGGCAACTGAAGATTAGCAGACAAAAGGTAAGCGGAGGCCAGGTGCTGCACTGCTGTTCTGGAGACTATTCCAAAGTGTCTTCTCTTAGAGCAATTTCCTTTTCTCAAACTCCTGCAAACAGCACACAGATGTTACCAGTGGGGAAACAAGAAAATGCTATTACTCTTTTATTTTAAATTACTTTGTCTTTATCTTAGCAAATCTGATTTTAAGAAAACTGGAATTAAAAATTAAAACATAAAACGCATAAAGTGTGCAAGTTAGGGGGAAGGAGAACAAGCATTCTCCCACCTCACATTAACAAACCAGCCATGGAAAACCACAAGTGCTAGACTGCAGTCAGTGCATGCACTCAGACTGCAATGCTGTCAAGGAACCATCTGCTCCCAGGCATAGCATAACAGGCTTGAAAGGCACTAATTCTGCATAAGAACTGCAATAGAGTCCTTATAGTAAAGGACTCAAACCAGGGAAGCAGCAAAATAAAGATTTTCATTTTGGTGAAGTTAAAAACAACAGAAGAAGGGAAGAATCCCACAGAAGCCTGTGGAGATGCTGTACTATACAGTCACCACAGGAAACAAAAAAAAAAAAACCTAACACAGCTGAATTATGCATTTTCTCTAGCTGTGAATTAGGAAAAATGCAAATAATTCCATTCCATACCTCAGTTTTTCAGTTGTACACATTCACCATAGCTCTGAATTAGTACTTCAAATAGTCTTACATGCCAAGCCTCTCCTTCCTCAAATACCCTACTTACAAAGAATGACCTCATATTTTAAATTAATTCAGGTTCTTTGCATCCAGAGAACAATTTCAACAAGTTGCTACACTTGAAAGCAAAATGCATTCTCATTGTTTGCTTTTCTATAAAACAATATTACACAAAACTGCATACATGTGTTTTTTATGGAGTAATTTCAGCTTGTTCAGCCAATAAAGTTCTTAACCAATCTCAGAGCAACAGAGGATCTAGGTAAGAGATGTACTCCCAGCTCATATTCCCTCAGCAGTTGCTTCTTGCTCTAGATGTGCATCTGTACCAATTTCTGAGAACACACCTTGTAGATGGTGCTGCCCAGCTGAGCAGGAGACATGCTGACAACAACACCTGCACTCTGAAGAGCTGCAATCTTCTCCTTAGCTCCTCCCTTTCCTCCAGCAATGATTGCTCCAGCGTGGCCCATCCGCCTGCCTGGAGGAGCAGTCAGACCAGCTATGAATGACACCACTGGCTTGGCATTTGGGCCCTGGGAAGGAATAAAAGATACTATATTAAGTGGGGAAGGTGAGACAAAAAGCAATTCCAGATGGCAGATTTTTGATTTTCTATTTTTTATTTAAATATCAACTAGCCAGGCAAAGATATGAAACAGCTGGAAACCTCAGACAGCACAAATGAAAAGTCTTAAGAGTGTGGAATACCTTCTTGCCTGATAATCATCATAAACTTGAAGGAAATAGAAACTTTAGATCTCTCTACAGTGCCATGCATATTACTTATTTAAAAAAAAGTAAAAATTCACTACAAATATTGTTACAGAAATAAAAATCTAAAGCTAACACTGCTCTCTAGTTCACAAAATCATAGAATCATTAAGGTTAGAAAGACCCATCAAGTCCAACCATTAGATTTAATCTGAATAAAGCTCCTAATTTCAACTCTTTATTAAAAGTGTGACTGTTTGGGATTTGTTTTTTTTATAAGTAGAGATTTGAGATTGAACTGAATTTTCCTTGATATGGCAAAAGAAGCTGGCTAACTGGCAAAGGTGCCTGGAAACAAGGTGTTTAAGGCTTACAGAATTATGTTCTTTCAAAAATGCTGCAGCATCTTCTTCAGCATTTCCTCCGATTTCCCCAATCAATATGATCCCCTCAGTATGAGGATCCTTCAGGAAGACATCGAGGCAGTCAATAAAATTAGTTCCATTGAAGGGATCACCTCCAATTCCTGAAAACAAAAATTAAAACCGTAAGAAAAAGAGTAACTTAAGATAATGATACTGCATTTACAATAGAAGTTTCAAAGTAAATTTCAGCATGAGGAGTATTCCTAAAGGCTCATAAGAGGGGCAGGTCTGAAGGCTATTCCCAAGTCAGTATGGCAAATTCCTGCTCTAAATACCTTCCCCAAAATTTACAGAAAGCTTTGATATCTGAATGTTCACTTTTTAAACTGTAAACAAAGTATTATGGACACCAAAGGACTGAGACCCCAAGCTCTAGAATTTTGCTGTAAGAAAACTGAATTTACTTTACATACCCAACTAAATGCCTAAGAATGTTCTATCTCTTTATAATATTAAACTTCTTGGGCAAATCTGTTTCCAAACCAACATCATATTTGCTGGCAGTTCTCTGTTCAAAGCTGGGGTTTAGGCTTTTATTAATCTGATGTGGAAATGATATCAGAGAAGGGCTATACTCTTCACAGCACACTGGGATCTCACTTCTCAACACAACTGCCATTCAGCAATTTCTACACTTGTCATAAGGAACTACTTTGGATTTCTTCTTGTAAATAAAAAGCAGATTAGCCTGGGTCCAACAGGCTGTTTCTACAGAAACCTACCAACACAGAAAGACTGCCCCAATCCAACCTGCGTTGTCTGATGGACAGCCTCATATGTCAGCGTTCCAGATCTTGAGACAATACCTTGAGGAAAAAAAAAGAAGATAAACTTAATGTTAACATAGCTAAGCACATGACTAGAGGCAGCTATTCTTATATTGATAAAAATCACCTAACAACACGAGATGACAGGTTTCCCAGCTGTCCTTGCCCAAAGGTGGAAAATCTCTATAAGATTCTATCTATACTACTTCTTGGTTGTCACTTTTTGACACTTAATTGTCAACAGATTAAACCTGCCCCGGAATTCAGTGATATTGGCTGAGACAGAATTTGTCATGTTACAGCCTTACCAGGAAAGAAAGTCGAAAACCAAATAGAAGAACTTCTTATCTTGCATGCAAGTAGCTTACAGATACACTGAGCTTGAAACAGAGTCACAGCTCAACAGCTAACAAAAGATTTCGGTATTAATCACACCCTCAGTATGGCCAAGACAGATCCTCCAGACCAGAAATATGACATACATATGCAAGTTATTACTATTAAGGTATTTGTTGCTGCTCTACAATACACATTCAGCAGTTACATTATACTATTACAAGAGAGCACAATGCCAGTTCTCAATTCAGGGTGGAAGGTAACACAGAGCCTAGACCACGAGCAAAGTATTTGCATGACTTTTTGTTCATTTTTCCAAGTCAAGACTTGTTAATAGTACAAAAGGCAAGGTTTCCAGGAAAAAACAGACATCATCTTCCACCTACTTCAAGCCATCTAACAAGGAATATAATAAGTATATTGCATGAACAGAGTAGAAGATACACCACTAGACTAACAACCTTAGTTTGATCAACAATTTATACTGCTGGACAGCTCAGATGTCTATTAGCAAAGTTTTTTTCGACTTGTTAATAGTACAAAAGGCAAGGTTTCCAGGAAAAAACAGACATCATCTTCCACCTACTTCAAGCCATCTAACAAGGAATATAATAAGTATATTGCATGAACAGAGTAGAAGATACACCACTAGACTAACAACCTTAGTTTGATCAACAATTTATACTGCTGGACAGCTCAGATGTCTATTAGCAAAGTTTTTTTCTTGCTAGCAAAGGACTTTTGCTGACCATTAAGATCATATTGCCTCAGAGAAGCTACTGATAAAAGTCCAAAGACTCTGGCTATTTTTGTAGCTTGCATCCCAGAATATTCAGATGATTCTTGGACGCCTTACAGTAACAGAAAGCTGGGGAACACATCAGCAAAGGTCACAGTGTTAGATGAAGCTGGGAGGACGGCAAATCTACGTTTTTATTCCTTGATCCTTGGATCACCAGTGAAAACATTTCCAGCAATGATGGAGCACTGGATCCAGGATTTAAAATATTCTTTTGCACCTGATGTGCCTTGCATTCAGATTCTTGTAGATATTGTGAAAATCTGAACAAAATTGTAATCAAGAAGGGAGCTCAGGGCAACAGTGGTTGATGTTACCTTTCACAGTTACAGAGCAATATCTCAGTGGTTTCTAAAAAGTGCATAATTGCAGCCATCTGATTTTTCAATTCCAGGTTTAGAGGCACTTCTCAAAGCTGGAGGTGTAACATGAGTGCTAACACATCTTCCAGCATTTCCTAGGTGCAGTCTTTTCTCAAGTCAGAAGTGCTTAAGGAGCAGAGATGGTTTCTCATGCAAGAAAAACTGCACTGAGTCCCTGCAGTTCAACAGCACTGAACAAGTTTCCCCACAAAACCACACATTATTCATCAAGAAAAAGGCAATATGGCACAGGTACTACTCTGCTCCAGTTAAACAGGTTGCCTTGCTGACAGGCAACAGCAGCACATGCTGCCTACAACAATATTTCTGAAGCTCTATTTAAGTACAAATGTGTATTTTGGAAGAATTTTCTCTGTAATTCTTCAACTGCATTATTTTAAAAATAATCAAGTTGCTATTTCTATAGTTTACATCAAGGAGCCAGCAACAGTCAGAACAAGAGATCTGCACACAACAGGGTGTGTAACCCATTACACACAGGGTGTGTGACTAACATGAAGCAGTCACTGCCTTTCTGGCCTTAACTATGCTGTCTGAGAGCTGGGCGTACTTGTCACTTCCACTTGTGGCGGTTTAATAGTTGTCTTATCGTGTTACAAACTTGCCTGTAATCTCTTTGCTGCAATACTGAGAGCACTACAGGCGTAGGATGCTAGTCCTAAGGAGTCAAACTGTTGGAAGGAGCAACACTGGGGAGCTTTGGTGCTCTCAAATCCCAAGATAAATGAGAACTTCCTTAAGACTCTCCTTTGAGGATACCAAGTCAATCACTTTACCTAAGGAAACTGAACTGCCTTGCTTCTACCATCCATACTCAGTGCCTGCTATGGAAGACTTCCTGATTTTGGCCTCCAGGAATCATAATGCCAAAGTTCACTTACCAACTGAGGGCAGACAAGCTGTTACACAGTGTATCAACTGTCTTCAGGGCAGGATGTGCCTAGCCTCATGAGGAAGAACACTAGAGCACCAAACTTTAGTTTTACATGATGCACAAATATTCAAAAACTCACCAATTCTTCCCTTCTTGTGAATGTGACCAGGCATGATACCAATTTTACATTCTCCAAGGAAAGAGTGGGAGAAGTCAGATGGGACATTCAAACCACCATTAAGAATGGTTCAGCCTTAGACCTAACCCCAGTCACTTACATTGATAACTCCAGGGCAGTTTGGGCCCACTAGCCGAGTCTTATTCTGCCGGACCAGCCTGTGTTTGACCCGTACCATATCCTGCTGAGGAATACCTTCAGTAATGCACACAACTAAGGGCATCTCTGCATCGATCGCTTCATTGATCGCAGCAGCAGCAAACGGGGGAGGGACATATATAACAGTGGCAGAAGCACCTGTTTGTTCTTTGGCCTACAACGGACATAGAAAATATAACACGTATTTAGTGGGGCTGAAGAGAACATCTGGCAACAAGTCATTTAAAATGCATCCATTCTCAGGCATAAATTAAGTAAATGGATATGTATCAATTTACTGTAATCAAAGCAAGTGTTAAATTCCCTGCAGGACACATACAGTGCAACTAGGGAACTGAGAACAGACCACTGCTTGGAAAGGATCTGCCCCATGATCACCATCCTATCTACCTTGAGAAAACAGTTCACTAAAAATTCATCATACACAACAGAATCAATCAGAAGCTAGTTGCATACATAAATTAAGTGTTTCCAGAGGTTGTGCAATTCACAATGGAAGCCAAACTCATGCTTGACCACACTGAATGCTCCCTCTTTTACAAGGCTTCCATTTCACTCCTTGCACAGAGACATCCATGGCTCAAACGTTCGTCTCTTCAGTGTGAGCAATGAAATAAGGAGCCCTTCAGCAGCATTAAATTGTGTGCCCTCGAGTCACTGCTGCAAATTACCTCCTTCACAGAATTAAACACAGGCAGACCTAGATGAGTTTTTCCCCCTTTCCCTGGAGAAATTCCTCCAACTAGATTGGTGCCATAGTCCAACGCCTGCTGGCTGTGAAAGGTGCCCTATGAGAGAGAAAATAAGTGAAGTTAAAAGACATGTAACAGCAAATAAAATTAACTCAAAATTTTCATGTTATCTATAATTGTGAAGGCAATTTATGATACTTAAATTTACAATGAGATGGGAAGGTTTCACTCCATATATACAATCAGGTATTTTGAATAGTGCATCAACATGTTTTAAATGAAATCAGAATACACCAATATGCTCTGCCTTTCCTTTGAAATCAGAGCACTGTAGTTGCATACTAAAAGATATTCTCTGTGTGTTGTCACATTTTATTTTCCACATCAAGTACACTATAATGAAATAGAAGAAATTAGCATTCTCATCCATGACTAGCTGACAGTTTTACAAAAGTAGCCATCTCCCCTTGCAAATTCATAAAAGAGTGAATCTGAGAAAATTATTAAATATCTTGAAATAAAAACAGAAATTTAATTCATAGGCATTGATATTTAAATGCATCTGTGAAAGAGGCACCTTAAAACTGTAGGGTTTTTGCAGATTTTTTGCAAATCTTTTACAAAGAAACCCTTTCTGTTGTATACAGTAAGTCTTGAGATCAAAATGAAGAACAAAAATGAAAAGTACTATAATAGAGATGATTCAAAACCAAGTTTCAAGTTTGTGCACAAGTGAAAAAATCTAGTCTATTGAATTGGAGAGAAAAAAAAAATCTATTTCAGCTAAAGTAAAGAAACTACAGTGCTGAAGGGACGCTCCTGATGGTGAAGGACGCCCAGCTTTCTACCAACACAAAGCCAGTATGTAATTTGTGTTGTACATTATTACATTTTTTGAGCAATTGACTTTCTGAACTAAAAGGGTGATAGAAGAAATAGCTCATGAACATACCTGTTTGCCTGTAAAACCCTGACAGATAACCTTTGTGTTTTTGTTAACATACAGATTTTTCCTGGATGCCGTGTAGGAACAGTGTCGGACTCCATTCTGTTGAACTGGAGAAAAAACAGAGGAGAGCACAAACCATTAATCCACTGCTTTGTTAGCTTCTAAGACAAAAAATGTCCTATCAAGTAAGTGCATATCAATTAATGCTTATATCAAAAGATAAATAGCAGCTCATATTTTCAAAAGCAGCTCTGAAGCTGCATTCAGTACTTGTCATTCTAAGGTATTAAACACCTGTAGTGCACCCTGTCATGGTGATTACTCAGTTTGCTAGGAATCAGGGGAAGTATTTCTCATACCAAGTACTTAATATCAGGATTCCTCACAAAAAATGACAGACAGAAACAACTGCTTAACCACTGTTGTCATTTGCAAATGAACATGTCTATCCGCTCAGAAATTCTGCGAAGTGACAAAGCAGAACTAAAATCCCAATATCCAGAGGATAATAGAACACAGGTTATACCTCCTGTGAACAGAGCTCAGTTCAGGCTAGACAATGAGAGATACTGAATTGTTCAAGGGTCCCTAAGCCCAGGTAAAACCTAATGCCAAGCGAGACACTCAGCAAGAGATCTTTATCCAACAGATTCCTTGCTATGGGCACTTAGGCATCACTGCTGGACATGCTCTTGGGCTCATGAGGAAACACAGCTCTCCAGATACTCCACTAGAATGATTTTCAATTTAGTTCTCACAAGTCTGGTACTGAAAAAGAAAACAACACAAACAGATTGCAGAAACAGAGCACAGTGAGTGCTGGTATCAAAAAGCCAAGGAGGATGACTGCATCTGTGGTGAAGAGAAAGGTATGTCGACATTAAATGATTAAAAAAGCAATACATAGGATGTTAGCATGCAAGAAAGCTTAAGATGAGGAGGAAAGAGATCTTCTGGTATAAAAAGGATGCACTCCTATATTTATTGCCATATGCTTTTTCAAACAGCAGAGTTTTGAGGGGATCAGAACCAATTTACTCCTTGCAAGTGTTTCACATAAAAACCTCAGTTTATGCTTAGAGTGAGCCCGGGAAGGTACAATCCTAACACCGAAACCAACACCACTATGTTGCTACATGCCCCTTTAGCCCTTTTAAAACTTTACTAACTAAGATTTCAGAAAGTAAAAGGAGAAGTTGAAATCACAAGAATTCTGAATCATGGTCCCTGGACTGTGCCATATACTCACTCAGGCATGTCTGAACAAGGGAAGGGTTTTTTTCCTATTTTTAGGAAGGGAAAAGAGTAATCTTCAATAGAAACTGTTAATGCACAGAATTTATTATGATGCTTTACAACAATTTATATGGGGTAATAAAAAAGTGCAGAAAATTTAAGATCCATGCACACACACACTTCATCACAGCACTACACAGGATTCTTCCACAAGTACTTCTGCCAACTAAACTTTACTGCTACATTGCTTTTATGCTTTACTTCTATTCAAAAAAAGTGAAAAGAAAACCTAAACCATGCCAGAAGCAGTCTACAGACAGCAGTGCTATTGCTAAATCTAAAGGCTTTACTCTGTTCTTAAAAAGCGCTGGTAAACCCAGGACTTAACTCCAACCACCTCCTACCATTCTCTAAGGAGCTGCAGCAGATCCTCAGCTTCAGGCCAACACAAAGTAAAACTCAGTAGAAAAAGGCACAGACCAGAATGCAGTAAACATGAAAGAATAGTGGTAAAAGTGCACTTCAGCTTACTGACCTGCAGGATCTTAACCTGAATCACAACAATATCCACAAAATTACAGAACTTGTTATGCCAGGAAATACAAAGCAGTAATGGACAAAATATGTCTGAGGCTGAGATTTAATAAACAGGGTTACAGGGCTGGCTGTGGGAGGGCAGAGAGAAGCCACAGCTACAGAAGACAGCACAGGATTGTCTTTGTCCTTGGCCAAGGGCTTGGCCTTCCTAGGCCCTGCAACCTGCACCCAACACTGCAGCACCAACTCAGTCAAAGGCACAACTGGCTAAGAGCAGCCTGCCTCCAGCAAAGGAGAGGCAAAATAAGCACAGAAACAGCTGGAATACTGGTCAGGAGATTATGGCATCAGTCTACTTGATCCCAGCCACTCAGGCAACACCTCAGGGACATGAGATGCAACTGGGTGAAACCCAATCCTGAGAAGAGCAGAGGATGACCCTCCTTGAGAAGCAGTAGAGTCACGACGAGTGATGCCTTGTGGAAAACAGTCTGAGCTTCCAGAAGTATGGGAGTGTTTTGAAATGGACCTGCAAGAGGAAAGAATAAGAAGGCAACACTAAACTAATTCAAATCTGAGTTTTACAGTCTGTGCTACACCACTGATAAATTCACCTACAACATAAAAGAGGGATGCTTGCTAGCCACACATTTGTCACTCAGTAATTTCAGCACTTCGAAAAAAATAAAAATTACAGAACCACAGAATGGGTCAGGTTGGAAGGGACCACAGTGGGTCACCTGGTTCCACATCCCTGCTGAAGCAGGTTCAGCCTACAGCACATGGCACAGGATTGTATCCAGACGGTTCCTGAATATCTCCAGTGAGGGAGACTCCACAACCTCTTTGCTGTTGACAAATAGTCACTCATTTCTCTATCTCTTAAAGCAATTCTATAGTCTCGGTTCAGCTGTCCATCCCAGATCTATTTTTTTAGATATTTATAACGTTGCACAAAAAAATGTTTTGAAAGCTTGTCAATTCCCAGTTTTCAGAAAACTGTAAAAATATATTTTTCAAGGATAAAAAGCTTTTGAGCATTTTCCAAGCTATCAAAAAAATAAAATTAGGCCCTGATATCTTAAAGGCAGCTTAGAATTTAAGCTTTGTATGGATTTACTCTTGAAAACCATATGTGCTTCTTACATTAGTGAAGGGACCTGGTTCAGAGAAAATACAAACAGTTCAAAAAATCCTGGCTATAGGCTTGAGCCATTCACTGCCTCCTGAGAGAGTCAGCTCAGCCTGGGCACCTGTCTAGGGAGTGATATGTTTTTTAAAGCAATTTATGGGAAAAAAAAACTAAAAATCACCCTGTAGTTTTTGGACTGAATAAGTCTGAGGTTTGGGGTGGTTTTATGTGTCATGATACAGTTCTGTACTTCTGTTCCTGGCCCTGTCTGCAGCAGAAACGTTTGCCCCAGTTAACAGCACAGCAGGAGCAGCAGGGGCATCAGTCAGGATGAGGTTCTGCTCCACGTGGCACAACCAGCAAGTCATGGGTAAAAGCAGCTGGCAATTTAAATAGTTAAGACAGATATGAGAAGGAAACAGGTGGAAAGTGGAAATGGTGTGCCTAGGTTCACAGCAGGTACGAGCCAGAAATAGAATCCAAGTCTCAGCTTCCATCCAGGACCTGCTTCACAACTTCTAAACCCGTTCAGACAATTGTTTACTAGGAGAAATTTGGGTGCTTGAGTGTAAATGCATGTTGCTTCATGAGGACTGGAGAAAAAAAAAGAAAGAAGTTTGCTCTTCAACTGTGAACCAGCAAAAACCAAACCCACTGGTGATGCTATTTTAATCCACACGTCTAAATTACAGGCCAAGTTACAAAGGTGAAGGCTCCAGACAAAGTCCTAGGGCATAAGGACAAGTCTTATTAAATCCAAATCTTGCCAAAAGCACAGGGGAAATGTTGCATTTTGTTCAAGATAACATTACAGCGTCCAACAAAGGTCTGTAATAGACCTTTAGAAAAAAATATTGAAAATAAAACAAGAAACCAGATAATCTTTCCCAGGCAACCCTATCATCTCTGCCACACCCCTGTTCTGTTTTGCATAGTTTGTGGTTTAAAAATAAAAGTTATACAAATAACAAGATGCATTTATTTTGGCTTCCCAGTACTTTAACTTCTACATAGCTAAAAAGTGAGATGCACTGTGGCAGGAACCTACTTTGGTCCATCGTACAGGACAACCAAGCAGTTATGAAAAGTGCTCAAATACCCAACTCCTGCTGTCCCAGGGAGAGCTGAGAAGCAAGATCTAAATTTAGCAAAGGGCTATAAGCTTGTATTGGAACACCAGCTGTTTTGTAGTAAGGAAACCTTACTAGAAACTAAGGGACATGTACTCCAACATGCACACTGCTGGTACTTACTCTGGCATTTCCAGGGAACAAGGTCCCAGCTGAACACAGAGCTTATTGCAGTTCAAAACCTGGAAAATCCACCTACATTCACCTATCAGGAAAAAAACCCTCAGAATCTGTAGGGTCAAGTAGGGCTTTAAGCTCACTTGCGTATTACCATTTACAAGCCTTTCTAGAAAAATTCCCTATTACTTATCATGAAGTCCAAACATGAATTCGCATGTTAAAAAGAAAACTGACCCATTTACAAGGTATTTTATGCACACATGTGCTGATAAATACTGTTTACATGGAGCTTTCAGTCACTCCTTGAGCAGCAACACCTCCAAGCACAAATCTCACCTAAAACAATACAACCCAAGCTGCATTTCATAGAATCATGTGTTGTTTTCAGAACTTCTTGTAAGATTTCCTATGGACAGGAACACAATCAAAGTGCCTCCTTCTTACCCACATTTCCCCAGATCAAAGAAATGAAACTTGGAAGCTGAAGTAGCATCTGAGGATGTTCATAAAAGGAGCACAATATAAAAGCAAGGTCAAACAGCAGATTCCCTTGTACACGGACCTGAGCTGACACCTACATTGCCGGAAGACTGAAAAGCTAAAAGTGAGATTCTTCCTCTTATTACTCCTTCAAATAGCACAGAACTCGGAGGTGAAGGAATATACTCCTTTTCTTTTCTGTTACCTATGTAAGGAAAGAAGAAAGCCTTAGAAATTATATGGGCTCCAATGAAATGAGAAGAATGAAGGCCAGTGCAGGTGAAATTCTGGGAAGGACTGAAGTACAAGGAGTGCTACTTAAAATGCTAGCAAGTCCTTTTTTCCACACACACATCCCACCACCCTCTTTATTTTCCATCAGTTATAGAGCTTTAGTTTGTTTCTGATAAATCCTTTTGATATTTTGTACATGTTTAATTTGCATTTTTATGCCCATCTCCTTGTCCTTCCT